TCTTGACGACGACCAAGTTCGGACGCCAACAACGCCTCTGACGTCCGATGCCGTGATATCATTACAGAATCTAATCAATCAGGATGCACATGCACTTGATGAGACGACCAGATGGCGCTTGCAGAGACACCTCCAAAAGCTCGCAAATGCCGCAAACACATCAATTGCTGAAGGCTCACTCCAGAAGGAACAGATTCAATTTCTTTATAAAGTGAACAACGAAGCCAAGGTGCGCCGATCGACGAAGCCTGTTATATTAAGTAATGCGAAGGTTATTAGCCATAAGGACCTTGAGGAAGCACGAACAAAGCGGGCCGAGAAAGATGCTAAGAAAAGGGCTAAGAAAGCTGAGAGAGATGCTAAGAAAATCGAGAGGGATGCCAAAGAAGCTGAGAAAGAGGCTAAGAAAGAGGCTAAGAAAGCCGAGAGGGAGGCTAAGAAAGCTGAAAGAGAAGCTCAAAAGGCCGCAAAAGAGGCAGAGAAAGCCGCTACGGGCAAGAGTACACGTGGCCGAAAGCGTAAACTTCCTGCAACCTCGGCACCAGAGCCAGAGCCAGAGGCTAAGAGGAGCCGCAAGACCAAAGAGCGTGAATTACCATGGGATCTCACGATATGGGTGGATGAAGGGCAGGTTGCACCTGTAGCGAAGATGATATAATTTTGGCGCTGACGGAACTGCCGCTGGCGGCATAGGGGCATTGGGACATTGACGCGTAGACGTATTAATTAAGTTGGATACTGGGGATCGTAATATTAATTAGACACTTATATGGTCATATAGTAGGACTTAACTTGGGGTATATAGAAATGCTAAGACTTTCTATTCTGAGAGAATCAATACAATCTTGAACATGGTTGTGGCCAGCAGCTGGAAGCGGCTTGGCTGAAATTTAAGCTGAACGCCACTTTGATGCCTAATTTCCAGCTAGCACCATACACAGGCGCTGCAGCACAGCCACACTACAATTTGAGTGCGATATACTCCGTATAGGCGACTCACCGACTTCGCTGCTAACGCATGGGTTGTCCTCACAATTCAAGCACGCGAGGATGCGGCTGAGACTGCTCATGGCTTTGCACTGCCTCGCCACAGCCTCGTCACAGCCTACCACTATCATATACCCTTGTGTTGCTCCCTGAATTCCTAGCAGTGTCCAACTTGTCCCTACCTTAGACTGCCATCATAATAACTATGCAACTTCTTCATTTCGACGAGTCTGGAAGACCAGTCTTGACAGACTTCGCCGGAAAGACCATCCCGCGTTATGCAATCTTGTCACACAGATGGTGGGGAGACGCTGATGAGGTCCATTACCATGATATACTGAACAACACCTATGCAAGCAAGGATGGCTTCCGCAAGCTCGAATTTTGCGCCAAACAAGCCAGTCAGGATCACCTTCAGTACTTTTGGATCGACACATGTTGCTTTGACAGATATAACAATCTTGAACGCTCAAACGCGGTAAATTCTATGTTTAAGTGGTATTAGAATGCTGTAAAATGTTACGTATTCCTTTCCGATGTGTCAGTAGCTACGGCGGCAGACGCCCAGCAGCAAAATACATGGGAAGCACGTTTCCGGGCTAGCAAATGGTTTACTCGAGCTTGGACACTTCAAGAGCTCATCGCTCCAACTTCAGTTGAATTTTTTTCTTCTGAAGGTCTGCGATTGGGAGATAAGAACTCCCTCTTGCCGTTACTACAAAGAGAAACCGGCATTCCATCAGAGGTTCTACAGGCAGATCAGTCCGGTGCGAAGCTTATTGACTTTCTAGAAAAGTTTAGTGTCTCAGATCGAATGTCGTGGGCCCGTACCCGCGAAGTGACCGAACCAGAAGACCACGCATATTGTCTTCTTGGAATCCTTAACGTACAAATACCTCTCGCATATGGCGAAGGAAAAGAGGAAGCATTACGCAGACTTCTAGATGAGGTTGAACAATCGGATACCACCCCATCTATCATTCTTTTCTCCCGAAATAAACGATTTGTAGGGCGTCAGTCACAGCTTAAAGAGGTCGAAAATATCCTGTCTACTAGAGAGCAAACTACAAGAATTGCGATAACAGGAGAAGGGGGTACAGGCAAATCACAGTTGGCGCTCGAGATTGTGTATAGTATTAAAGAAAAGGATAAGGCATGCTCAGTCTTCTGGATCGACGCTGGTAACATCGATAGTGTATACTAAGCGTATAAAAGCATCGCACAAAAGCTTAAGCTCCCTGGTTGGGAGGACGAGAAAGCGGATGTTTTGCAGCTCGTAAAACGTCATGTCGGCGAAAATTATGCGAAACGGTGGTTACTGATTTTTGACAACGTGGATGGCGTAGACTTAGCAGATGCTGGATTTCTCACGCCACAACCAGTGGACCTAGTCAATATTCTACCACAGTCTGGACTCGGGTCGGTCATATTCACAACAACCAACAGCGACATTGTTGAGAGGTTGGCTGTGTATAATATTGTAGAGCTACAACAAATGGCACCGAACACAGCCCAGGAGATGTTTATGAACCATCTGACCATCTCAGTCCCGACAGACGAAACGCAGGATATAAAACTTTTGCTGGAAAATTTATCATATCTTCCATTAGCAATCGCGCAGGCAGCAGCCTACCTCAACCAAAATAAGACGATGAAGATTAAAGATTACCTGTCGCTGTTAAACGCGCAGGATATAGAAGCGTTCCAGATTAACAGCAACCTGGCACAAGACAAGTCGCCCACTCATGTCATCCCACGCTCTATTATAATGACATTGCTCACCTCACTGGATCAAATGCGCCACGGTCACCCACTAGCGACCTACTTTCTCTGTCTTATGGCCTGCGTGGACCGAAAGGATATCCTGCTAGATTATCTAAACCCCTGGTCGAAGGAAAGGGAAGACGCTATTAAACTTCTTAGCGACTATGCAGTCGTCATAAGGCGACCTGCAGTATCAGCCGTTGACCTTCATCGACTAGTTCATCTTGCAGTACGAAGATGGATCGAGAACTACGAGTCTATTGACAAATGGACCGAAACAGCTGTTAGGCGCTTGGTGGAAGTGTTCCCAGACCATAATCATGGCAATAGAAGCAAGTGGAGACGGCTGTTGCCTCATGCTAGGTATGCTTTATCACGTGGTTCAATCGATTTGGACAATGATGATAGGATGACTCTTATCTGGAAATGTGCCATGAGCTTGTATGAAGACGGGCAGCATAACGAAGCAGAAGGGCTGTTTGTGCAGGTGAT